AGTGAGCAATTTTCAAAAAGAGGAGCTTGGGCTACAGTGTATAGAAGTGTATGTGTGTAATGACATATAACAAAAACAGAGAGATAGATCCCACTAAAGTCACATGTAAGCTACACGGAACATGCCTACAAGTTCATCCAGAGAAGTTATTCTATACCAGGTCTTTTGTTTCACCAATGTCTTCCACTTAACACAAATACCATCTCAGTAATCTCTGAATTGTGGTTTGGTTTGTTTGTCTTATTATCAGGCATTTATCAAGCAGGTATGCTCAAGAGCAGTTCTAGTAGATCTTTCTTCTCAAAACCTTTTCTAAACAGATGCACATTTTCCAAGTTTGGTCTTTGTCAAAATTGTCAGGTGGCTAGAATATTGAAAATATCAATTTGTAATCCACTAATAGGAGCAGGACCCCTACTTCTAATCCACTTGACTCTTTCCCTGGGTTATTGTTACTGGTCTGACCTTTGGTTGTTTTTCCTCACTAGTCAGTCCTGTTCTATACGCCCCAATCACCTGAAAATGTGACTTCCACCAGTTAATTTCCTGCACACAAGCCTGGACACATTTCAGCTTTCCTATCATACCTATCACACGCAGTCCAAGTTGCTCATTAGCATTGTCTGCAATGCTTTTTTTGATCTTTCCAGGCTTAATTCCCACCTTATTCCTACACCAAACTAGCGACAGAACAGAATTACTTAAATTTCTCCCTGTATTTTTTTTTTAACACTTGTGAATTTTGGCTAATAAATTTAATCCTTGGTGCTATCTCTCCTTCTCTGTAAATTTAATTCTCAATTATGGTTCAAGTTCTAGCCACAAGATGATCTTCAACACCTAACGTTGTTCCAGTACTGTCTCTCACTAGTCCTCTCCACTAGGTCTTTCCCCCAGTTCAAAAATTGTCCATTCATCCACTGAATTCCTCTAACTCTCTCTCTTGCAAATTACTACTTACCGTCTTATATGAAAGTTAGGTTTTCATATGTTTAGTTCTCTTAAAAAATCTATTAGCACTTCAAGGGCAAGGGTTGAAGTTATACTCTTTACCTTCTCCATAGTGCCTCCTAATAGTTAAGCTTAAGCTTTGTATTAGATTCAACTAATAATTAACTATATGACTTTGAGTAGGTCACTCAAGGTGAGTCTGTTCATAAGTCAGAAATATGTTTTAATTTAATAGTCTCATTGAGATAATTTAAATTACGTATTCCTAGGGCCACACAAGAAGATTTAAAAGCATACACCGAAATAAAGATTTCTCTATAAAGCTCTATAGCACCCCTTTCCAATGATAAATTTCCTTGATGTTTTTTGGATGGATATAAAGTGGGATGACTGTAGTCATTCTCACTATTACTGATACATCAAATATTATGGTATAATCTTCAATTTTTATGATGTAGCATAATTATTACCATTATATATTTTTTGGAAGGAATGATTTATCCAGTTAGTTTTTCAATGTATACTTGTTGAATATTTAATAACCAAGTATTTTTTCCAAGCTATGGGCTCTCCACAGACTTTTCCATTCTAGTGAATAGAAGGAATATAAGGAGAAAAGCTGGAGTAAATAAGAAAGAATTTTTTCCTTCTTTTAACTAATCTATACACTCTGTCTTCTCTCACCTTATTTAATACATCATGCCAGTTTTAGAGCATCTATATTGTGGTGAGACTCCAAGCAATGTCTCCCATGGTTAATGTTTTATAAATATAAAAAAATGCCTATATGATTTATGTGTGCACACAATACTGAGAAATAAGGGCAAAGAGCTTCTACTCAAGTCCTCTAAAGATAATATACTGGAAACATTTTGGTGGGTGTGAATCACTCAGACAAGCATTCTTCACTCAAAAATAGAAACTTGCCTTATTTGTTCCAGATGTTATACAGCTGCAGGGAAGTTAAAGCCAGTGGTCCTGTTTTCAATGCAACCAAACTCTTATTGCATTTGGAATTTCTTAGCCAGTTAATTCATATTACTTGTTCCAAGGCCTGCACAATTTTCTTTTTCCATTCTTACCATTCACAAGCAACTGTTTCCTGGGAACTACACTTCAGAATTAATGAGTCTACATCTGTGTTGTACAAAGGAAACACATCCTGTTTACCACTGGTTCTACCTTTCATTTATCTTGACCTCTTTAATTTTAATGGTAAATTATCTCAAGGAGAGTAATTGAAAGGAAAGGACAGCAAGGCCGGGATGTGTTCACCTCAGATTATTTTATAGCACCTCAACAGTTGGATTTAGATGTTTAACAGTTTAGATTTAGATTCTTCATGTTTGGAAGAATTTTAAGCAAAATTATTCAGAAAAATATTGAGTATAAAAATGGAATTCTTATCATTAATTTTTAATTTAACAAATAAACATTTTGTCTTATTCCTCTTGTAGGTCTGTAAGTAATATTATATTGAGTACATCAGGATTCTTTGAAGAAGATAAAGGAGAATTCATGCAGGAAAAATGTATGCTAATTTTGTATGTGGCCCATAGAATTAAAATCTGTTATTTTACTTATGTTTGAGATAGTATGCCAGATTTCTGGAGATTATTGTCTTTTTAGACCATTTTCTTAAATTGTGGTTCATGTACTATCTGTATCAGAATCACAATGGCTGCTTATTAAAGTGTGTGCTTCTGGACTCCGTTGAGCCTGGTGCTTTGAAGGGACTGTAGAGACCAGAAACCAAAGAAATAAACCAAAGAAATAAAACAAACCATTATCTTCCTTTTGGGAACATTAAAATCCAAGATGGCTAATTGAATTTATCAAGGCAATGCCACCAATTAAGAGTAAACTAAGGCACAAATATTCATTTACTGATATTCAGGTTAATATTTCTTTCCAGAAAAATCTGACATTAATTTTTAATCTTCAATAATATATAATTAAAATATAAGTGTAAAATAGATCACAAGTAAAATTAAAAAGTGTCCGAATATCAACAGGTAGTCACTAAATAATGCTTTACTCTTATCACTTATTAACTAAATCCTTGCTCTTACTTCAATATTTGGAAAAATTTTCTTCAAATTAAAATATTTTTCTTCTAGAAAACAAAGGGGATCTGATATATTCCCTCAACTGTTGACTGAATCTTTGAAATACCATTGTTATTATTTTGGACATGAAAGTTTCAGTTAAAGTTATTTGAACCATGTTTAGGTAACAGTTTACCTTCAGTAATGATTCCCTTAAGTTCATAAAAATAATTCATGACACACATTCTTGTAATATGCCATTTAAAAAATAGATCCCCTGAAATAGACTACATACGGCAGCTTTCAAAACTAATTAAGAGATTTGTTTTTTATGTCCTCATGAAACTATTAAAAATGTTATACTTATGGATATAGTTTGACATATGAAAAAGATTCTGAATACTATTTAATTTAATGAATGTTTAAGTTCTATATACTCACCTCAACGAATCACATTTTGACACCCATTAGTAAAGAGGAATTACTGGAGAGGAGGTATGTTAATAAACATTTTTGGTAGTCATAGATTCATAATAAATATGGTTCTAGAGATTTTCTAATCTAGTACCTCATTTCATTCACAACCCTAAGATCAAAACAGAGCAGTATCCTTTGGAAAGAGATAGCATGTGCCAGAAGTTGTCTGTGTAAATTTCTCTTTTTCCTGTTCCATAAAAAGCTAAAGCAGAGTGGCTGGCCAAGTTCACCTGAAGAAAGGTTATACTTAGCCCATCTTTACTATGGTTAGATGTGGCCAAGTGGTTCCATTCTTGCAAAGGGAAATGTGAGAACTATTGTGTGGTAGCTTTTGGGAAACTTTCTTAAAAGGCAGTGATGGCAGGTCTTTTATAACCTTTCATGTCCCCGCCTGAGCTCACCACATGTGATGTGGGGATGAGGATCACCCTGTTCAGATGACTATAAAGCCATCAACCGACGTGAACCTGCCACTCTCAGATGCACATGTGGGAAGAAAGCCCTGATTCTGTTTAAATCACTGATTTGGATTTTCTAATACTTTCAGTTGATAGATTGGAGACATAATTCATTTATTGCTATAGAATTTCATTCATTTAAGTTTTAGACACATTGTTACTGAGCAGATCAATGTGTCAGGAACTCTATTACAAAGTGTATAAGAAAGAAAATTTTTATTTTGTGTCTAAAACTACTGTTAGAAAAAAAGTTTAAAAACTCAATGCTTCTTTTTTACTTTTGGCTCATTCTTATTCCCAATGCCAACAAATATTACACAACTCTTTATTTTCATTGTGCTCAAGGAATATTTTGCTTGTCTTTGGGTTTTAGACTGATATTGTTATGTATGAATAAAATATTCTCCAAATTTAAAATAAAAAAATACACCTAAACAATTCAAGCACACAAACATTAAGCAAAGTCTCAACTTTTATCCCTGGACATCAGATCATGATAAGTGGTCATGACATAATAACAGTCTTTTGAAGCATGTCAGAGAAAAATATGTATTCTTTTAATTAATTCAAAATACTGTGGAGCATATTTTAAAAATATTTAAAGATAATGTGTTTTCTAAGTGAACATTTAGGCATACACTAAAGGCCATATTCTTTTCAGTCTTAGCCACATATAGAGAGATGTTAATGTTCCAAGTACAAATGTGAGGTTAGAGTTTCTCTCCTCTCAACAAGCCACCTCCCTACCAAGAGCAAATACAACTGGGTATCTCCAGGATCAAGATGAACCAATAAAATGCCCACTGGTAGCTCTCATTCTGTTGCTGGACATGGAAAATTGTTTTCACCTATAAAGTGTGTTTAAATTCTCCCTAAACCCTTTCTTATTAAGTTCTAAAAGCTAATTAAGCTTATAGTCTTTCTTGTTAATAAAAAGGACACATTATAAGTTTTAAAAGTTTTTCACTTGTAGTATAAAAATCTTAAGTGCTAGCTACTCAATTTTTGAATAATTGTAGAAATACAATAGAATTTGAGAAAATATATAAGTTTGAACCAGAATTACCTTTGGATCCACATTGAGAATTTTTCTGTCTTTTTTATATTTGAAGAGTAAGCCATGTGGATTGTCATCAATCACCTGATAATTGGGACTTGAATTACAAACAGCTATCTGACTGTCCCAGTTGTAAAAGCTGCAAAAGTAAACATTTAGTAAGAATTAAGGGATGCAATGCATTAAGTTAATAAACATATTTTAGAAAATATTTGGGGAAGTTTAGACTCAAGATAAATGGATAGGAACAGCATGTGTAACCATATAGAAAACATCTGAGATTTAAATTCTTGCAGAAGGAATTAGATTGGCTTATCCTCCCATCAGTTAGCTACATCTGTGTAATAATCTTCCATGATTTTCTGATTTGGACACTGGAAGACCTAGGACATATTCCAGTATTAAATTCGTAGGAAGTGAAGAAGAAAATTGATGCAATTTAGGGTTATTAGTTCTACTGCAAAGTCTTCAGGGTACAAAATGACTGTTTATTGGAAGAGAAGGCAGGTTAAGACACATCTTTACATTCAAAACAATTTCAAATTAATCTGTTTCTTTGGGGCTCTCCTTTTCAATATATGTTCCAGTGAATTGGGGAACTATTCATGTATACACACTATAAGGCAATACCCCTAGGAAGCTGCTGTCACAGACAAGGCAAGGACAGGAAGAGAGGTCAACCAGCAAGACCAACATCCTGTGATGACTAGCTCACGTGGATCTTTGTGTTTCAGAGCATCATGTATTCTTTCAGTTATTAATCATTGCACACTAGCATTTATCTCTTTAAAAATCTTTTATGGAGACTTCATTTTCCAAACATTGTTTTATTATTGTCAAAACTGAATATAAACTATATTTATAAAAAATAAATACTGTCATTTAAATTGGATAAATCTTCAGTGTACGTATGTTTTTATGTATCCCATTCCTGTTAACATTGTTCTAGTATGTTTGCCTTTAAAATGACAAGCATAGAGATGCCTCATATATAGTTTATGCACCAATATACTTCTGTAGTATTTACTTTTAATCAGTTTTCTCTGATCCTATTTCAGTGTTGTTTTGCCCTCTATTATTCTCTTCCTTCTGAGTTGAAAGAATTTCATTGAATAAACTATGAGTTATATTGATTCTTGAGGCATCAACATTACCACTTTTATTGTATTTTCTGAAAACATACGTTTACCATCAAATTTTTCAATACTCAGGATTAATGGTATAGATTTTGTATCACCAGGGTGGGGAATATGTATGCTACCTGTTTGCTTCCATTTCCTACTGTTATTTTATGGCTGAAATATAGAATGTCTGCCCTTTCTGAGGCAGAGTAAGGAAAAAATTAAAAAAAAACTTCTTACTCCTAAAGGAGTGCTGGAAAGTGGGAGGATCCAGTCTAAGATCAAAGATCTGGTGCTCACTGAAGTTTGGTGCAAGTTTGGGTCAGGAAGTTAGCAAATCTGCATTACTAGACTGGAATCTGTTGGATGCCTGAAAGAACTGCAGTCCATCGTCCAAAATAAATGATAACGACCAGAGCTCCTCTGAACAGCAAAGAGCAGACTTCTTTCTTCTTTCCCTTTTTACATTGTCCAAGCTATATGCATACTGGTTGATGCCATTCCCATCAGGGATTGGTCACTCCTCCTCAGTTTGTATCCGATAAGTCAACCATCCACAGACATACTAGAACTGTGCTCCACTAATCTTTTAGGTGTTTCCTAGGTGTCAAACTGACACATCCCAATTAACCATCACACTGTATTGGCTCAGTCCTCCTTGAAGGAGCAGTAAGAACAGCTGATTGGTGAACTGAGTAAAGGATGCATTTATGCTCCTTTAGTTCCTTTAGTTTTCAAAGTGATGTTTACCACAGCAAGTTCAGCCCCTAATAGGTCAAGGCAGGGGAAATGCCTACTGTTCTGATGATAAATTCAATTCAGCAGTGGAAGTATTTGAAGTGAACTTGACTTTGCATCCACCTGGGTTTTTAAATTCAGTTTAATCCACAAGAAAGAAGATTTTGCTTCCATTTCACTAGGAGATCTCTAACTTGGAATGGGGTACACGGTGTGATTTTTGTTTGGTGTATATGCCTCTCTAAATAATTATTTATCAGATGTGTAGATGTGGATAATATGAGCATAATTCTTGAATAGATCTATGCTTAAGATGGCATAGTTTAAAATATAACCAATTCCTGGCATGTTCAGATTAAAAACTTCATGATAATCCTGGTAGATTTCATAAAAAAATACTCCTAAAAAAGTTAGTTTGTGTAACATGCAGCACTTTTGAAGAAGCAATTTAGGTTATTTGACAACTTTTATTCTCCTCCATTGGGGTGAGAAAGAGGATGAATTTCATGTGCCAATTCTAATAGCTAAAATTGCTAGTGCAATCATATCTTGATATTTGATGGTTTGGGAATTGTTCCAGTTTGGCAGTCCATGTATTTTGATGCAAGCATTTTTATTTTCGTACCTACTGTTTGGTAAACAAGGTACAAGCTAGAACTTGTTGGTGTTGATTGCATCACAACTCACTTTCCAACCAAGACAATTTTCTTGATATTCTTCATTTTCAGTACTCATCATTTCTCCTGAAACCAATTAACAGTGAATACTGAGGTACTAAATGAAGATAACTAATGATCACAGCTATGAAACAACTTACCATATCCTGGCTACTGATGAGACACTACTGATTTATCTCATTTAATCGTATCACCAACTCCATCAAATAGGTATACAATATCCCATTTACACATGCAGAACAGAAAGAGAAATGATGTCCCTTGATGTTAACATTAGACCTCAGAGCCTGCCCTGACCAGCACACACACTCTTTTTCTTCCCACATCCTGTTGGCTTCCCACATCCAAAGCTCTTCTGCAGGTAACTCTAGCTGTTCATCAGGACACATCTTTATCTTCTATTTGGCTAGATGACTAGACTACAGCTCAAGACATCCTCGCCGTGCAGCTATGTAAAGAAATTAAGCAACGGAATATGGGCAGAAGTGACAGTTTCCACTTCTAGCTTGAATCCATTAAAACTTCCAAGCTCTTTTCTCACCTCAGCCAGCTTTTATATGTATTCTAAGAGAACGTTAGATATAGTTCCTAAAATTTGTTTTCCTAGTTGACTTTCTAGGTTTCTAACTATTCATTTGTTAAATAATAATAGTGCTACAGCAGATGGGGAAATGGTATTTTCATTTTAAAAATAAGCTTTCTAAAGTTTTTTTTTCTTTTTCCCATTTATGTAACTATGAATGTACATATGTAAGTATGGTTTGTCTGTACATGTTTACAGTGCTTAATGATCACATTCATTTTGGGAAATTGGCCGATGGACATAACATATCTTAATTCTTTAATTCCTTCCCTTCTCCTTCTTCCCCTCTTCCTCCATCTCCTGATCCACTTTCATATCTTGCTGAATTGAGAAAAATAGAAAAAAATTATAAAGTGAAATGTATGAAGTTAAGGTGAAGTATAAAAGGGAGTTATTGAATTTTACTGGGTAATTTTTCATGTATTTTTGATTTGATAAATTTTGGTTACAATTTTAATTTTTTAAAGACAAACTAAAAAGTTTCAGTTTTGTTCTTGTCACTATAGCTAAAGTATAACTGTTCTCCAGATAGATTATTAAAATTGACTTGTTTTTTATAAAATATGAAACAAGATAATATAAATCTATATCATTTTAGGCATTTGGCATGTTTCATGGCTTATTTTGGGTGTACAGAGAACAAGAGAATAAATGTATGATAAAGGTGTCATGAAACATTACAACACTGTCATGAAAATGTGAGTTGTTCAGTTTAATTGGATCATGGATGGCACTGGATGTTAGAAAAGATGATGCTTGGGGCTGGGCATTTAGCTCAGCGGCATAAGCACCTGCCTTGCAAGCAGGCAGTCGTGAGTTCGATCCCCGGTACTGATAAAAAAAAAAAAAAGAAAGAAAAGAAAAGAAAAGATGACGCTGGCAGACAAACAGACAATAGTGAACAACTTATGAAATAGGATGACAGATGGACTTATAGCTAAGAAATAGGGAGGCATGTAACGAGATAGTCTGGTAAAAATTTTATTTCAGAGATAAATTTCCAAGCAATGTGCAGAATTATTTTGATAGCAAGAAAATCTCATGGTAGCTCAAAAAACTCTTAAAAGTACATATGAGTGAACAAGGGGATCTTGATTTGGGAAAACAGTAAACAGTGGAATGAAAGGACTCAATGGTCATGTGAGAAATGAGGACACAAGAGGAATCTAGGATTACTCTAAAGTTTCTGTTTAGATTTCCAAGTGAATTGAATCATTTAGTAGCATATTAATAAGAGAAAGAATTGATTGCAGAATGCGTGAAATAGGATACTTTGAACTTTAGAATATGTTAAACTTGAAACCCCTATGAAATATCCAAGAAAATTAGAGCGAAGATCTTGGTTTGTGTGCTGAGCTGTTCTGTTTCAGTGCTTCCTAGCTCATGGTAGAGGGTGCACACATATTGATTTCATAAATTGGTAATGAGTGGATTTATGAAGGTTTAGAGTTCTCTAAGATAAAATATTATATCTGAAAGTATCAACAAAGTTTAAATTCGGGGCTGGGGATTTAGCTCAGCAGCATAAACACCTGTCTTGCAAGCAGGTGGTTGTGAGTTTGATCCCCAGTACTGATAAAAAGAAAAAAGAAAAAAAAAGCGTAAAAAAACAAACAAACAAAGCTTAAATTCAAAGAGCTGACTGAAGTGGCAAATAATGTGTAGAGTGGGATGAAAATAGGTAGTACTAACTTTACAAGGAAGGAATGAAGGTCAGCAAAAGATAATAGGAAGGCATAATCTGAAACCAGACATACTCTTAAATCAGCAAGGACCAGAAAAGACTTATTTTTTCACACAAACTAAAGGAAGGAGACTATATTAAGAAAGCATGCTTTAAGAAGGAAAACAGAGGAGCTGGCTGTTTATACAGGGCTGGCTTAGTGTTATGGCTTATATCTAGTTGTTGCCCGGAAGCCAAAGCCTCATGCATTCATAGGTGTTTTCAGAGCTGGCTAGATCTCAGATGTAATTCTGGGACTAAGGGTGTGATTCTGGGAATAAGGATGCCCCAATCTGA